TATATATTTATAAATTAATAGGAAAGACATGCAGTACATTCTACATAATAGCATGTGTTAATGCACATATACATTACAAGTTATATCTCAGAGACAACTGTCCAGACATGAAGTTCTCTGTCTATAGTATAGCCTCCTCTAATAAACTTATTTATAAATAATTTGCAAGGCCCTTCACCCTCAAAATATATGTGAACAATTGTTTTGGGCAAATTATGCCAAAAATTAATGTCCTTGATATACAATAATAATAGTAATTGATATATTTTTTTCCGGTTACAGTGTATTATGATGTAATACTACATTTTGGCCACTAGTTGGAGTGAAGGAGCATAAGAAATACATTTTTAATTTCTATGCACCTCAGCTACATCTAGTGGCCAAAATGTAGTATTACATCACAATACATTAGAACTCTAAAAAAAATATATATATATTGGGAACATTTTTTTTTGGCATTAGTTGCGAGGGCGATGTCAGTAATTAGATATGCAGAGCCCAATAGCAGGAGCACACACCTTGGGATAGCGTACTCAGGAGATGAATCCGGCACAGATTCCAAATACGTGGTACAAAAGGGTAAATCCAATAATCATGGTCAGGGCAGGCAGCAAAGGATCAAACTCCATAAACAAAGCAAAGGTCAGGTAACGGAATCATATGGCTAGCAACTGGAACACACTGTGGATAGCTCTGAAACAACTGAGCTCTCTCTCTCTCTCTCTCTCTCTCTCTCTCTCTCTCTCTTATCTCTCTCTCTCTCTCTCTCTCTCTCTCTCCATAGTGATCAAACAGGAAGAGATGTCAGGAGGTGCGGCAGAAGGCAGCAGGGATGCAATTGCTGTCTATAACAGGAAGCACTCCAGTGCTGCCATTTTGATGTAAGGATGCAATTAAACATGTGCACAGAGGCCTCACTATTTTCATGCGGGGAAGTTATAGGACACAAGTCACTGACAAGAGTCTGAGGACCCCTGTGATTGATACAAGTAGGTTGAGAATTGTGACAGGCGACGGGCCCTGTAAATGGTTTAAAGATAGACCCCTTGGTATACTAGAATGCAATTTTAAGTGCAAATATTACAGTTCAGGCCCACCATTCTGGTAAGGCACTATTCCACATATAGCCAACCTCCACCCTGTCTTTTTAATTTCATAATAAACAAACCAATAATAACAAATAAAAAGCAAACAAAAGTACAATATAAATAAATAAAACCACTTTCAGAATAGTGTTAGCCCATCATTTCCTCTTCCTAAGATGATACCAAAAAACATTTACTTAAAGGAGAACTATGGGGGTCAGGGCTTTTTCCCATAGTTCTCCTAAGGGTAACGGGAGGACACAAACTAGCGTCCTCCCGTCACCCTAAGCTCAGTATATAGGGAGCTACAGCTCGCGGTATACTGAGACACCGCAGCTGGGACAGATCCCGACATTACTGCCGAGATCGACCCAGCTGCATGATTGACATGGGGGGATTCGGGGGGGGGGGGGGGGGAATCCCTGCAGGGAGCCGTGACTGGCATCCCACCTTCTTAGAAAGCTGGTATCTGGTCACTTCTCTCCCACCATAATGGCCATGTGACTTTTATTTCTCAGGAGGGGGGGTCAGTACGATTTGCACTGACAGTGGCAAAAAAAACTAGCTCAACATACTGAACTCCAAGCAAACCACCACGTATATAGTATAAAACCATACACAGGAACTGTTTTATTAACAATAGATTTAATTTTCTGATCAGCCAGTCTTGAGATACTGACATCTCTACAAGACAACATAGACAGGTCATTGACCTTGCATTTCTCCAATGCAGTAAATCAGTACAGCTTGGGTCTCTGAAACCTCTCCATCCGGCTTTCCTGCCAAAGTGATACACATCAAGGGAGTACGCAAGCTTTTGGGGTTCCTTAGGTCTCCTTTTCACGCTTTATAATGTATGAAGTGTGAAGAAGGGATCTATGGATTCTCGAGAACTTGCATCTTTAAAGGAGAACTATGAGGTGGGTGCTTTCCACTCACCTCATAGTTCTAGCTGACCTGTGACAATGACACTGTCACAGGTCGGCTCAGTAGATCGGGAGGTGAGCGAACACATACCGGGTTCGCTCGCCTCTCGATCCTGTCACGGCTCTCTGCTGTGACAGGGAAGGGACTGGATTCCCCCCTCCCCGCTCCGATCCGCCAGTGCTGACTGGCGGAATGGACGGGGGAGGGGGCGGGTACAGCTGGCTCTGCCTCTAGATAGGCAGAGCCAGCTGTCAGTCACGCAGCTGGGCGGATCCCCGGCACAATTGTCAGGATCCGCTTCAGCTGCGGCCTCTCAGTATACCGCGAGCAGCAGCTCGCGGTATACTGAGCCTAGGGTGACGGGATGACGCTAGTTTGTGTCCTCCCGTTACCCTAAGGAGAACTATGGGGAAAAGCCGTAACCCCATAGTTCTCCTTTAATATATTAAGTTAGCCAATAAAGGGTACCACTTACACTCTAAACTTACTGCACCAATCCATAGCTAAGACTATACAATACTCTGCTACACAATGAAAGTAAAGATGGTTTATCAATGGCGGCCAAATGCACCTCTAAGGGCCTGTTCACACGACGTCCGTTTTCTGTCCTGACCAGATCCGTGCGCTCCGGCACTAAAAATGCATCCCAATGCATCCCTATGTGTTTTATGGGCTACAGTTCTCACGTGCGCAGTCCATTCAGGTTACGACAGAAAAAATGCTGCATGTCACATTTTGTACGGTCAGGAAACGGACCGGAAATGCAAAACGCGTCAAAAACGCACTGCACTGCAGCTAACATACTGACAGCCCCACTAAAGAAAAAAATAATATTTTTTTTAAAAACTGGAACGCATAAAAAACGTGGCAAAAACACACTGCATCAGTAGAACCGCGTCTGCAGATCCGCACCTGATATCATGTGAACAGGCCCTAAAACAAGTCAAGAAGGATGAAGGGATAAATATGTTTTCTCTGGAATCATGTACGTTCTGTATAGAGCATGGAGTGACGCTCCATCAGGGTTACTTGATACTAACAAATTAGAAGTGTTAATTGTGCTCTGAAAATGTATCTTTTGTTTTCAATTCCTCCTGAAAAAGAACACTTCCTGGTATGTGATGGTGCCTAGGCGCTCCTGTACCTACAGCCTCATAGCTGTATATCTACAGTGTGCGATCTCAGGCACTGCTGCCTCTGACTGCCAGTCTCAGGAGATTTGGAGTGAGATTTGGCAATGTCACCGGTGTGCTGATCACTGTTCTCCTTGCTGGAGGGTCTGACATGAGGAAGCAAAGCCCTTCTTCTACCAAGATGGCCGCCTTCACACCACGGTGCACAACAAGGCATGGTAAATCAGTAATGGGGAAGAGACCCCACAGGCAATACTGGTGACCAGTCCTTTGTCCTCTGCCTGACTTTCTTTCTCCCAGCAGACTCATAGCCTGCTTCTTTTAAAAACAAACCATCAGTGGCAGCTGCCGTGTACAAATCTTCAGAAGTTCACTTTACGCATGTGTTTTCTGTGTGGCGCAGCGGCTCTAAATCACAATCACAATGCCCTCGGTGGCTCTTTGATGTGATGGTTGTGGATTTTTCTTCACCAGGAACGTTCACAACTAACAATGTCTTAATCTGCAACTTTCATATCGGTCCAAGAGAAATCTTTCTCTGCTATATGCGTTTCACGGATTGTTTATTTTCCCAGAGAAAGCTGATCTCCATCAACATGGCCGGTGCTTTTTATCAAACAGCCGATGGTATTAAAAAATGCGCACATGGCTACATTAGTAAGAAATCTAAACAGAAGTATATTGTAACAACCCGGACATTTCATGTCACATGCCATTGTCCTCGCCTGCCACCGAGAGGCCATGGAAGCCTGAGATGAGCAGTACTCTGCTGCCCCCTACTGACAAGTCTTCAGATGACACTGCTATAGAAAAAGAATGTCAAAGTTTGGATTATTTTTATTACAGGTAATAAAGTATAGCGCCAGCAACTTACACAGAACACTCACATCAGTCCCTGCTCTCAAGGAGAGTACAATCTAAGGTCCCTATATC